TGCCGCCGGCGGTGGGTAAAAGCCCAGGTAGGCTTCCTTTTTAGGGTTAGGGTTTGCTTTTCTGATTTGAAATCGATTCTTTTCCATTCTCAGTCAGTCACCGAGCGGGCGCCGGATCCCGACGAGCTATGCCCCCGGCTAGCCTATCTTTTCCCCACGCGCCGGCGTGACTGCAGTGCCACGCAAACGCGAGGTAGGCTACCCTTTTCCCTTTCTTCCCCTTCCTGGATTAGGGTTAGGGTTTGGATAGCTTTTCCCCCCGATTTGATTTCTTCTCGGGTAACTTTTCTTTTCTTTTCCCGAACCCGATCTAGGGTTAGGGTTCGATCTCTTTTCTTCCCTGATCCAGATCTACGACTAGACAGACTAGCTCTGATGCCATTGTTAAATCAATTAGGATCTCCAGCAGTAGATCTAGGAGGGACACCCTTGGATCCGTAATAGCACATGCATATCTAGACCTAGAACACTACACCGAGAGGGAGATAGGGTAGAGGTGCTGGTGTTGAACCTGAGCCTTCGGATGAAGTCGCGGTTGAGCTGGCCATCGCTGGTTCGTTGATGGAGGCATCACATGGGCAGCGACGGGTGGAGTAGAGGTTGCACGGACGTCGATGCAGTGCAGACGGATGGCGTAGCAGTGACGACGGTGAAGTCAGCGGAGCTTCCCATCGCTGGCTGCGCGCCCTCTTAGATCGGTCTAGGGTTTGTCGGTGGGGTTTGCGGCTCACGGTGAACCTCGTGCCTCGAGCCGCCGGCCCCCACCTCTTTATATAGCGCAGTACGACGGGGGCCCACCAACCATGTAGGGTTGGGCACCCCCGATCAGGGAGCGTGACCAAGGCCCAATAGGCCGTTGGCTTATTGGTTGAGAGATCAATCTAACAGAAATTACCGTATGTCTCATCGATCCTGCCCTTTGCCACCGATTAGATGTCGTGTGTTCCAATGGAAAATACTCCGTTCTCTCTCATGACATCGATCTGGTCTCGCCGACGAATGCAGAGTGGAGGCTTCTTCAGGGGGTACACGCAGCAGGCGACGCAGGCCCGCGCCTGGGCGACGGTAGCCGGGGTCAGGAGCAGCGCCGGGCGCGGCGTCCGCGTGCGGCGAGGCGAAGGAAGCGGCCGACGGCCCGTGGACGAGCCGGGACGGGTTGGCGGTGGCCGGTCAGAGGCGCGCGACGCTGCGGACGAAGCTCCCGCGGGCGAGCACCGCTGCTCCACCTCGCGTGCAGACCGCTGCGGGCGAGCGCGGCCGCTCCGCTCGCACGCAGGCCGCCACGGATCGGGCTCGTTCTAACGGAGGAGTAGGCGACTTAACGTCCGTAGGTGCATACGTGGCTGACAGTGTACCTATATACGCGGGAGATGCAGAAGATGGCATAGATGCGGGAGAGAGAGAGAGAGAGAGAATTACGATGTCAGTTCTCCAAATAGACTAATTCTTATGATGTACTCTCTCCGTCGAGAAAATGTCCAGAAAAAAATATAATTCTAGTTTTGAACCTGAACATGATATTAGCATATTGCCTTTCACTTTGTTCTGTGCAAAAGCAGCAGGATATAGCGGGAGTTTTGTTCCTCCGACACGGCAACCACTACAAGCTAAGCCCTTGTTTAGTTCGCGAAATTTGGATTTTGGGGCTACTGTAGCACATTCGTTTTTATTTGGCAAATAGTGTTCAAACATGGACTAATTAGGCTCAAAACGTTGGTCTCGCAATTTCCCACCAAACTGTGCAATTAGTTTTTCTTTTCGTCTACATTTAATGCTCCATACACAGGCCGCAAATATTCGATGTGACAAGTACTGTAGCAACTTTTTGGAAATTGGAGTGAAACTAAACAAGGGCTAAGAATCTATTCCAGCTCCCGGCAGGTTAAACGAGTTTTTTGTTTTTCTGAGACCTTGCCCCAGTCCAGAAGCAAAGCACCCAGACAAACGTTGCAGCAGTTCAAAGCATTACAAGCTGTCTGCAGAGCTCCGCCTGTGAGAATGGTAATATTGTTTGCAGCACCACAGGTGAAGACTGAGAGGCTGACGACAGCTGATAAGACGCTGATAATGGATTAGGCACAGACTGGTAGTTGGTCATGTTGTTCTACTGTTGCATTTGTTGATGGTGAAGGGCTTGCAGACACTGTCATTGCTGTTGCTGTGACTGTGATTCTTGCTGTTGTTGCAAGGATTGCAGCAGGGGCTTCTGCTCATTGAACGACTGGCTGCGTTGGATCTGCTGCGTGCCTGTGTCAGGAACTCAGGCTGACCCTGTGCTTGGATTGTGCTCTCAGTCCCTCAGAGATGTTTTGAAGGTACGGCTGCTGCTGAAATTGAGAATGCACTTGCTGCATAATCTGACTTGAAAGAAGTGGCACCGCTTGGCCAGCTATGTTCCGCGGCTGCTGAAACTGCAGTACTGTGGGTGAAACTCTCGTTGGCCATTCTCATGGCTTTGTTGCTGTCAAACGGGCAGACGACCTTGGCTGGCAGCCATATCTAAACACTGTTATCAACATTTCCCACTTCCATGATCCATGGTGAAACAGGGTCAGATGAATCACATGTAATCTCCTCAGCATTGGTGAAGCGCAGATGACATTCTGTTGGACGAATTGTGAGGGGGCACCACCACCACATCTGACAGTGTGTCAAGCCCGACGTCGGTGAGCACCTGTGGTGAAACGACCGAATGCGGCCACAGCATGATCAACGCTGAGTGCAGAGGCGGCGGAAACCAATCAACCATGACCGATGTCCTTGGACCATAGGCGTACTGGTCGCGACAAAACGTCGAACATTCAGTGTGCGTTGCCCAGATGTGGTCGGTGATCGCGGTCGCGCTCTCGGCAGCGACCCCCCTGGGGCGCCATAGAGATCGAGGAAGCCATGGACGACGCCAAGGAGGACGTCGCCGGCTTGCTGAAGCTCGCAGCAGAACCCCTGGTGACCTCACGCTTGCTTGCAGTTGCAGTCCTTGGTGCCGATGGGTGTGGTAGTCGATGGAGAGAACGAAGACGCCGATGGTTTTAGCGGGGCTGCGCCACCGAGCGTTCTTCGCCTCCCAGCTTCGCTAGGATCTCAACCAACATCTTCTCCGTTGTCATGTACTCATGTTCACTCAGATTCCGGCGCGGTGGTGGTTGCTCCTGGATCGCAACAGCTCTGAATACGAACGCTACGCAGATGCTGGTACAACCGAATTGATACACAGTAAAAAAATTGATTTTCTAGAATACACTCGAAGGTTCTGGGTACATGGATGGACGGGAGGAGGAAGGGGAAGGGGAAGGGGATATGATATCTAGGCGGAGGAGGCCGGAGCTAGCCGCGCCCGAGAGGTCGGCAGTCGGCAGGCACCTTTCGGTGGATCCGCCACGCATCCCTGTAACTCAGCTGGGCCTGTCGACTTGGATTCCGTTGGATCTTCCAGGTGGGCCGTCACACACTCATGGGCTGCCCTTCCTTGTCCATGGACGTGGCCAGGAGGCGCACACCTGCTTTTCAACTCTCGCAACATTTTAAATTTTGCCAAGTTTAGAAAAAAATATAAACATTCGTGTACGTGCATGTACACTCATTCCTATAAACACATACATAAACTCTATTTATATGAGCATCCCCGAATGACTGAGTCGTAGATCTCGCTATTGATAAAGTCATTATAGATGACTCGCTATCGATGGACACATCGTCTACCAATGAAAGAATAACGCCGTTCAGAATAAATCTAGAAAAATACAATCACCCATGTCAAGCTTAATGCTTGAAACCGGATGAATAGATTCCACCGCAAGAAAATATGCTTAGTTCGCAAAGATATAGTTTGGAATTGAGTATAGAAAACTCCTATATTTCTTAAAAAACAATAGCCTTTTTTGAAATAACGATAAGAGAATTGTCATTATTTTTATTAGACGAGAAAATACAGCAGTCATTATAGAATTAGTGGATACGTGCCTTTGGCTAGATGATGACGAGTGTCTGAAAGAGTGAAGTGGGGCTTTTGAGTTTGGTTAGCGCTAGTGTGTTGCTTATATCTAACTGAAGGCTTTTAGATGCATGAATAGGGTTGGAAAAACATGTTTCTTAGCTTTGAAATTTGAACGTGCAAGTCTCATATTCTCATCCCCCTCTCCTTCCTCCTATTTTTTACTTTTCTCAATCAAAGTTATGTTTTGCATATCGTGTCAATGTCCAAAACGATAAGAATTAAATAACTGGAGGGAGCAAAATGGCTAATATATAGTAGCTTTCGTCTAGATTGGTAACACACTAAGCCCGCTTATACAAAATCACCAAATCAAGTATTTTGAATAGTAGCCTACAGATTGGCATGTTTTGAGGTGGCACATAGCTTTCTCTTGCAAAACCCAACAAGCTGTCAATTTCCAGTGTCTAGTTTTCACCTTTGTAGTTTGCACTATACGTACGGTGAAGTTTCAAGGTGGCAAATATTATCACTCAAACCTCACAATTTCCAGCTTTAAGATCCTATTTCTCTTCTGCAATGGCAAGTTTTAATGTGGCACGTGTATGAAAACCACACAATATATCGCCAGCCCAAGAGCCCCTTTTGAAATGGAAAGTTTTTTTGAATCGGCAAATATCAAAACTGCAAATTTCCAGCATTAGGACGGCTAATTTCTCTTTTTGGAATGGCAAATCTAGGTGGGCAGGTGGCACATACCAGGTATTTTGCCAGTGTTTATACATTCAAAATGAGAGAACATAGGGGTGTCAAAAGACTGTGGAATAAGTAAATTCAAAAAAAGGTCATAATCTTTTGTACAAACAACCATGCATACTCTGGTTCACATGAAATCAAGAATCCACGCGGTGCCACCAACCCCAGATGGGTAGAACGAGTGTACTATAAATTGAGGGGTGCTGGACTGCTGGTGTGTTCATAGTACATTGCATACAAACACTAGCTAACCAGCTGCAAAGTTCTTCTACCATTGTCCTTTGGGAGTTGAGTCTTGGGCTGCAACTGCAAGATGGCGATTATGCAAGGCTTTGTTCCTCTGGTTGTTGGGGCAATTGTTGTTGGAGTTTGTGCGTCCTTTCTTTCAGGTATGTTGGATTGCATGCCTCTTGACTTCCATTCATCTGTTTTAAAATTTTGGTGGTTTGAAAAGGCAGAGCTTTTATGTTTCTTGATGAGTGATGCGGTTTGTGATTGAAAAACTAGAGCACTCTATGGTGCACGCGTGTTTGTGTATTGAATTTGGGATCATGCATTTTCACTTTTTTCATGACGGCATTTACAAGTATGGTTGTGAATGTAAACCGGAAGCACAGCTAGATGCATGAGACCGTATCTTTTTTTATTAGGTGCTGTAAGTATCGTGTGACATCGTAGACTTTATTACACAGATGCATTTTGTATATATAGGCGTTCCACATTTTTTATTCAAACGGTTTCAGCATCACGTACTTTGTTCGAGTAAAAGGGTTGAGTGGTGAAAGTATCTAAAGAAGTGCTCCACAAATTAAACTCTAGTTTTTTATGAAGCTGTTTCACGGTGGAGTCTATGGAGTAATCTCAAACACCCTCGTAGGATAGGAATATAAATGCAGGGAAATCTCCAATCTATATATATCTGTTTGAAACGATTTTATATATATTAATGACGAGCCGTTACACCGTTGCAATGCATGCAGGTGTGCATTCCTATGGCGTGTGCTACGGCACGGTAGCCGACGACCTCCCGCCGCCGAGCGAAGTGGTGCAGCTCTACAAATCCAACGGCATCAGCAACATGCGCGTCTACTTCCCCGACAGCAAGGTCATGGAAGCCCTGCGCGGCTCGGGCATCGGTCTCGTCCTCGGCGTCGCCAACGAGGACATCGCCAACCTGGCCGCGTGCGCGCCGTGCGCGGCGTCGTGGGTCCAGACCAACGTCCGGCCCTACCACCCGGACGTGAACGTCCTGTACATCGCCGTCGGCAATGAGGTCGACGCCACCGCCGCCGCCCAGAGCATCCTCCCGGCCATGCGGAACCTGCAGGCCGCCCTGGCCGCGGCGGCACTCGACGGCGACATCCAGGTGTCCACGTGCGTGAGGCTCGACGTGGTCACCAACACCTTCCCGCCCTCCAGCGGCGTGTTCGCGCAGCCCTACATGGCGGACGTCGCACGGTTCCTGGCGGCCGCCGGCGCGCCGCTGCTCGCCAACGTGTACCCGTACTTCGCTTACCGGGGCAGCAACCCGGGCGACGTGAGCCTCAGCTACGCGCTCTTCCAGCCGGGCACCACGGTGAGGGACGGCGGCAGCGGGTTCGTGTACACAAACCTGTTCGACGCCATGTTGGACTCCGTGCACGCCGCGCTCGAGAAGGCCGGGGCGTCCACCGTCAGGGTCGTCGTGTCCGAGAGCGGCTGGCCGTCCGCCGGCGGGGACGCGGCCACCGTGCAGAACGCGCAGACGTACGTCCAGAACCTGATCGACCACGCCGGGCAGGGCACGCCCAAGCGGCCTGGGCCGTTGGAGACGTACGTGTTCGCCATGTTCAACGAGGACCAGAAGCCCGGGGAGCTGACGGAGAGGAACTTTGGGCTCTTCTATCCTAGCAAGGCTCCGGTTTATCCCATCGTGTTCCGACACTGAAAACAAGACTTCTGCTTTAATTTCGTTCAAATTCAAAATAAAGTTGTTATGCTATACGATGCTAACTATTTTTTTTAGAGGACAACGCGTACATTTATATTTCAAAGAACAAGCATTGTAAAGTTGCAAGAACGTAAGGATTTTCATAATCGCAAAAAGAAAAAAGAACGTAAGGATTTTCATTTATACTTTTTTGAGGGAAAGGATTTTCATTTATACTACTATACTTTGTGGTGCCATATGTCCATTTCTATACGTGTCCCATTCCACTCCTCTTTGGACCTCGTGTCTGAACGACCCACTGTAGCTTTGAGCCGAGCCATGTGTCGTTTCGCTGAAATTTGACTTATGCTGATTTGTTTTTGTGAGAAAAACATTGTTCGTTCGCTGAACAGTACTGCTGAAGTAGTTCAAACGAACAGGGCCAACAACCGAGATACCACGAGCGAACTAAAAATGAACCCCTCTACTTGGGGGAAAATTCAGTGGTGATGGTCCATATGGAACACTTATAGACACTCAACGTGGATTCACAACACGTGTCCATGTACATATATTCAACATATGTCACGTCAAAAAATCATCGTGCCTTCTTTTTTGTGGTGCATGGTATGTTTGTGATCATCGCAACGTCCATTGGGCTGAAGAATATTTGTAGTTTCTGTCGAGTCGATCCATGGGACTAATAGCAGCCCAATCTTCGTGAATGGGCCATGAATTTGAACGATGCTCCAGCAGGCCCACATACATAGTAGATTGCGCCTAAATTCAGCCCATGAAATAAAAAATGGCCGGCCGCATGCAAACAGCAAACTCCTTCGCTTGAAGTTTGAAGGAGATGCGTGTGGAAATGGCCTGTAGCTTTGAGCCAAGCTGTTTTTCGTTCTCTGTCGCCTCCGATGGGGATAACTCTCATCCGTTCCGTACGGTACGATGATGCAGCTCTGACAGAAGAAAGAATCAAACAACAGAGACGGAAATAAATCCACTACTAGGCCTTATTTAGATTGAGGTTATAGATTGAGGTTAGAAATCAGTATTTGGCACTGTAGCACTTTCGTTTGTATTTGACAATTATTGTTCAATTATGGCCTAACTAGGCTCAAAAGATTCATCTCGTAATTTACAATCAAACTGTGTAATTAGTTATTTTTTTATCTACATTTAATACTCCATGCATGTGTCCAAAGATTTGATGTGATGGAGAGAGGGTGAAAAAACTTGTAATCTAAACAAGGTCCTAGTAGTATAGAATATATATACACAGAGAGAGAGACCAGTGGTCCAATCCGTTAGCACCCCAGATCAGGAATTCCACGTATGTATGTGTCATTCGTCAACAAGCTGCATACATCTCTCTGCCCTTAGACGTACGCAAGGGCTGGGATTAATACGAGGTGCACGTGGATATACATAGATCATACTGACTTACTGCTGAGAGAGAGAGAGAGAGAGAGAGAGAGAGTTGGAAAAGAAAAGCACAAGATGGATGGCTAGGTCGATCGTGTCTTGAAGACTGTCGCTGTTGTACCGCAGGGAGAGCGAGGAAATTCCATGCCGCAGGGTAGAATTTGGTGGGCAGGGCACAGCACAGGGGCAAACGGCGCGGGCATGCCGCACTGCCCAAAGCTAGGAAGAAACAGCCAAGTACACGAGGAAAAACGAGGCCGGGCGCCCGGCGGGCTTCCACAATCCGCAGTGCGTCGCGCGTGTCGTGATCGGAGAATAACGCGCCATCAATCAATCTCCCGTGGAAATTGGAAAATGGGAGGAGATCGACGACGTGTTCCGCCGGCTGCTGCGCCGAAGACGGAGAGAGTGATATATAGACGCCATGCGATCCGTGCAACCTGAGATCCATCGTACATACCGTAGGTCATTTTATCGATCGTGTTATAACGATCAAATTTTATTTGGTATACACGGTATACGATCCGGCCGGACACTGAGAAACAGACCCTATCTCAGTTACCCAAAACCATGTATGTCATCCGGTATTCCGGTCTATTCCTTACGTCCCATAATAAATAAGTTTATGTGGTTTAAAAGTTATTCTACAAAATAGTAAGTTCTATGAGAACATGCCACACATATAGTAACATTTTCCTTCTATTCGGCCTATGTTATTTCTCCTATATTGTTTTCCTCTCCTCTATTATCTCTTCTTTCATTTTAAATCGTTGCCACTTGTCCAAGGCTCTGTTTGGATCATTACTGCTAATTGTTAGCTAGCTAATAGATCATAACTCATATTAGCTAGCTGATATTAGCTAGTTTGGTGCAATTAGTGAAATAGTTGTTAGTTGAGTATTGGGCTAACAATTAACTAAACTATTACTCTATTAGCTATACATCATGCCTTAAGGCCCTGTTCGTTTCGTTGAAATTTGGCTTATGCTAATTTGTTGTGAAAAGAAAACATTGTTCATTCGCTGAAAAGTACTGTTGAAAAACAATTAGCTAAACTATTACTCTATTAGCTATACAAGCATGTGGCCTCTTGACAGAGAAGCTAAACACTTGCATGCAAACAATAACTATCAAAAGGAGACGAGGATATATGCGTCTTTTGCCAGCATCCATAGTCTATCTAGAATTTTTCATAAATTTATTTATTATTATAGAACAGGGGGAGTAGGCTTTACCATACAACGATAGAAATTCATACGAGAGATATGGAAACTAGCGGACTTTACCAGCCAAAAAAAAAACATAGCCGACTAGAGATTTTCATATATACATACATGGACTCTATCTTAGGAAAAGACCAAAAGAATAAACTATTGAGCACTGTTATTAAATTATAAACAATAAACGGTCGGTCACGTGCTGTGTAGCCACTATTCAGGCTAAACGGTCATTTAAACAAAAACGACGCACTACATATAGCGTTTAAACGATGTGTAAACGAGCTAAATGATCAACCTTTTAGGTGAACAGTGTGATTGAGATATCCGGTCGCATGTATTAATCTCGCTATGAATACCGATAAGAGCCTGTTTATTTGGATGATGTAGTTTTCGAAAACTATAGTGTCATGAAACTATAGTTTTATAAGCCAAAGAGACACAAAATTGTGGTTTAGAAAAAAGATGTCATGAGAATGAGAGTGAAGTTTCTAGAACTCCACAAAAACCTACAGTTTTGACAAAATCATGGTTGCATAAACTACAAAAATTGTTATATCCAAACACCCACCCAATAGCTTTCGAAATAAAACCAAAGTATTTTGCAAAACCATATATTTCTCTGATACTTCAAAAACACTCCAAGCAAGGCCTAAGGTTTCTCCCCTCCTCCTGAACGAATGTTCGTCGGTCTATCCGGCCGGCAAAACCGGACCATCTCGTGTGTTTCACACATAATATGCTGCTGCAATTTCCATGCATTCATGACCAAGCCGACGTGAGAAGGAAGAATTCCCATGCAGGGATAGAAAGTTTGTATAGAGCTTGCTTGTGCTGGGCGGACGACTGTACGTGCACCACCACCGCTCATTATATTAGTGATCAGGTACACGCCGGAAAAAGGAGATCCTGCTCTACTACGGTTTCTTCCACGTCCCGTGGACTTATATTGCATATCGGGAGAGACGAAACGAGATCAGACGTCGAGATCGACCGTGGACCGTTATTATTTCTGTGGAAAACGGACGTAGTACGTAGGACGACGACGTACGATCGACGTGTGTGTCAAGCTGCTGCGCCCCGGCGCCGGAGGCCGGAGGCCGGAGGGTGACACGATACGAACCCCATGCAATTTGCACTGATCCGGCGGGTTACGTACGGACGGCCGCCTTAGCTAGCTACGACGAGTCAACCCGGCCGGCAGCCGAACAACGGTGCTGCAAGTGCGGCACAGCTAGCTGCACCACATGCATGAATGCACCTATGGACGCGGGAAACGTACCAGACTGGCGACTCGGGGGGCTGATCGGCGATCGCATATATATAAAGGGGGGCCTGGGTGCATGGCCTTCTTGCATTGGTTCATAGGATTGTTGTACCCAGGAGCAAACTAACTCGTAGCAGTAGCTAGCCAGCGCGCTGAGGATCGATCGACAGCCATGGCGAGGCAACAGCAAGTTGCTTCTTCCATGCTTGCAGTTGCTCTGCTCGTTGCAACGTTTGCGTCCATTCCTACAAGTATTGACTATTCTTTGTCTCTCCTCGTTATTACGCCTCGTCCGCTCTATGTTGTTTTCTTGTTTTTGCTTTGCATGCACGTATTGGCAATGTTTACGAGTATTTACCTACCAGCTATAGCGATTTTTTTTTTTAAAAAAAGGGTCACATATATATCGAGGAATTTTAGGTCTCGCCATCCATCTACTCTCTGCATAATCACGAATATATGTATCTGCCTAATTTTGTTTTGACACGTACATATTCTCACTTCTCAGCACTACCTAGCTAACATTTAGTAGCACCTCATTCCTTCCGTACCTCGTGAGATAAACTAATAAGCACTCAAACTCACTTGTCCCTCAGAATTTGCAGGGGAGTTATTGTATTTACGGTGGTGTCTGTTGTGTAATATTAAGATATATATGTATATGTATGCTAAGATGGTCCAGCCCAAAGCTGTAATCTTGTAGACTTCCTATGGTGCTCACAGAAGCGCGTTGTTTGGATCAAACATACTACCTTAATTACAAAGACGCACAAGTCTTTTGTGTATTCGAGAAAAAAAGATGTCTAAATTTTTAGACAACAATTTTATAACAATTAAAAGGACCATAATATAAAAATTTATTTCTTATTACAAGTTACTTTGAACAACAATAAAAAAAATCAGACACCTAAAATATAACAGAAGTGGATAACATATATACCTTTAGTGTGACTTGAGTTTACGGTAGCAAAATAACGGTGTGCCTAAACCTAGTAGCTAACTGATGTGACACGATGATTGCGTGCAGGCGTGCACTCCATCGGCGTCTGCTACGGCATGCTGGGCAACAACCTGCCGTCCAGCAGCGACGTGGTGCAGCTCTACAG